CAACTATGAGTGCGGAACGCGGTGCGGTGCGGCGGGCGCAGATCAAAACGACGGTCGATGATGAAGATTAAATGTCGATCCAAGGAATTCCATCGCCAGTCAGAGTGGTCCATTTAAGTAATCAAGCAAGCAACGCTGGTCGCTGACGCATCACAGACTGACCGAGGGTTAAGCTAGCTCTACGGCACATATGCATGCCACTCTGCTGCTGCCACTCACTACTCCGTGACTGCTGCCCCCCGTAATTGTCCACCCACAACGTGCGGTGCGATTCACAGCGAAACGTGGAGGACAGACGACTGCTTTCTCCTTCCTCTTCGCTGTCCAAGCTAGGTGTGTGTGCGTGGAGATACGCTTGGCTAGGATGAAAGCCGCGCTGCGGCGAGCGTGGGAGTAGCCGGCCGTCTTGGTCGGGCGCCGACTCAGTGAGCGGACTTGAAAGCGCGCAAAGTCGTTGGTTGCTGTAGTCTGAGTTGCTGAAGGGAGCTGCAAGGACGCGGTGAATTTGGACAAGCCACTGATGGACGACGCCCTTGAGACGCACGCAATCAAGAATGGGATTACCGGTACCGCTCGCTCGCGCGCGCGGTGTTCGCTCAAGTCAACGATCGATCGAGTCAGGAGCGTGAGTGTGAGGATAAATCGAGCGCGCAAGGTTGTTGTCGTGTAACTTAATTTGACATGAGAAAGTGTCCGTCAACGAGAGCATGATGACCAAGTGGCACCACAAGTCAACGAGTGGGATGAGACTGGCTGCGATCGAGCGCCTCTCACGAATTTGAAGGGTGCCCTACCCTGACCTCGCAGCACTTTCTCTGCGGATGGCTGACTGGCATTGACATCCCAGCTCCGCGTCAGCATCAGCATCAGCATCATCAGTCCCGCTCCGCGGTGTTGCCGCGGCTCGGTGCAGTGCGAGTCATCAGCAGTCGCAACTATAGCAGAGCTGTGATGCCTTCGTCGGTCGATCCTTCCTCCTCGAGACGGAGTTTTGTAGATCATCTTCCTCCCGACTTTGTCTCTCGTCTAGTGCGCTCGCGCGCTTTCT